TATCAAATATGGAATAATTATTCTGAGGTCATTGCAGAAAATATCAATAATCACAAAAATTTAATAATTATATGGTTCAAGTTTCAGATAGAAAGATGTTTTGCTTCAGTCGGAAAGATCCAAACTCTTTGCAATTGTATCACATTCTGCCATTTTTCCTCCCAAGTGATCCTTCTTAGTAATTTCAATTTGGAAAGATGATTAACATATTGAAATACATATAAATATATATATATATGTATATATTCACTACATAAAATAGATGTTTATCACATAGCACACACATATTTATTCGAATTGAAGATATATTCTCCTATGAGAATTTCATGACATGAGTTTTTAAGCAACAAGAAAATAATCAAATTCCGTAGCTTTCTTCATATTTATATTTACTAGTTTTATAATTTTATTTTATATATTTCTTATCAATAAAATTATTGCGATTTTGTATATTTATAATAAAAATGTAAATTTATTCAGATAATTTCAAAAATATTATGAAAATGTTTTGAAATATTTCACATCTAAAAGTTTATCTTAATACAACATTTTCATTTTTCTAAAAAGTAACTATTTGTGAGTTGTTTTTGTGATATACTTTATGTTAATTATTACAAAATAAGCCCTGTTTCTATATGTATTATATATAAACAATATACAGCATATAGACATGCAATGATCTCTATAATAGAAAGTCTATTTATTTACATGATACACAGTAATTTAATATTCTCAGCTGAAATGCAGGATTCTTTATAAAATAATTATTAGACTCATAAAATAAATATTTTAAAATTTAAACATTACAAATGTTTCATTTGTTTAAAAAGATTAAAAGATGCACAAACTACTGTTGCATGTAATTTCATTAAAATTAAATTTGCATTTAATCAAATCTAATTTAAAGTATAACAATTTAATTTTAAATATATTTATGAATTAATTTATTATTTGAAATAGATTTATTCTTCATTTTGAAATATTAATTTTATTATATTTGCAATTAAAAAAAAAATCCGAATGTTACACAGTAATACATTAAAATAAAACTCTATAAAGAATTATAAAAGAGTCATAAAACTTAAATATTTCAAAACAAATAAATAATTTTAAATATTTTTGATAATAAATAATATAATTAAATAACATTTATAAGTTTTTAAACGAAACCGTCATTAAAATGAGAACATTAACTCGAAGAAGATTTCTTTTGTTAAATTTCCATAATATCGATTTTAGATTTGAAAATTTTAATAGCATATGAATATTTATTAACACATTATTTCCTTGTAACTATTATGTAATTTAAATTTATACACTAAAAAATTGATTTTTTTTCCAGAGTCGGTAACTTTTTAAGATTTAAATAAAATTTCGACTTAAAAATATACATTTATTCTGTCAAATGTACTTTATCATTGATGTTTCTGGGATCTTGTCCAAAATAAAGCTAGATTCGAAGCTGTTTTTCCTATTTTTATTTCGTTTACCAGTACAATTTACAGCATATTTAAGCGAAGTTCTGAAGGGTCTGTTAAATTTTGAAAATTTTAGATGTAAAAAAAATAAAGAAATGTTTGTAAATATATATCATACTAGTTTTTATGTTAGGAGATAAAAATATTTATGTTAAATTTTCGGCAGTTTCCATTTTTATTCTCTGAAGAACTTGATCTCTGGATATCAAGTAAGTGAAGAGAGTGATTGATGCTGGTTTTACTGTAACATGATGCTAGACACATTGTTCCTTCGAGATGACACACACAAACACAGGATGTCAATCAAACTGACTCATCACTTTTGCCTTATAGAACGCAGCAGATAGTATTTCATGTTGATTTTTATATTATTATTGTCTTACGTATAATATTTGATTTACTAATTAACAGTATAATCAACACATTTCTCTGCTCGAGTGTTTATTGACAAGGTTTTAGTTATAGACAATTTATTTATTATTATTTCGTCTAAAAAGTTTTGCCTATAGCAAATACTTACACTTAATCTAGGATATTATAAATACGAATTTTACATCTTTAATATAATTAATAAATGATTAATATAGTTAAATATTATTTTTGATATAATTCATCATTGAATTAGTTAATCGAAAATGATGCAGTATGTTTAAATATTGTAGCGTATTAACATTACATAAATACAGTGAAATATCAAAGGCCATTGACAAAAACATAAAGAATGGCAATTATATGGACATCATTTTGTATACATTTTTGTTTAAAAAAATTCCTGAAAAAATGGCCGCTGTTTAGAGGTGGCTGTTGTTAGGAGGTAATCGTTTTTGGAGGTTCGATTGTACTTTGTAAATATTAATACAACCGTTTTAATATATTAATAATAATACTATAATACAAAAGTTCTTATTAAAAATGAAATTATAAATTTTGAAATTAATATACTATAAATCAAATCATTATTTATCGCTTGATAGATTCTCTATTGAAAACCTCTCATAAAATTCACTGTGCTAATTAAAACTATATGTATTATTTTTATAGATATATTTTTATAAAAAGTTAGTTATAAAATATATCATTTCTTTTATATAATTTACTTATGTATCCAATATAAACTTCAGTTTTCACGTTTCAAGTTAACATACTTTTATATCTATAACACGATTTAAGTAATCGCAAATAATCTATTTTGAAAGCGTAGTTGCCGATATCACCGATAAATGTGACATTACAGATATGGAAAAATTATCCGATTTTAGATTTTCTTAAAAATCGATAAATTTTTAAAATGTATTAAAAACTCTATCTAGTTTCATTTTTTAAACTAAATTCGATTTTTCAAGCAAGCTGTCCTCTTATATTCGATTTTTTTCAAATTAAAAGAAAATTATTTACGTGTAGCGCATGTTTACCTATATTATTTTGTTTTATAATTATCTTCAGATATTTTTTACTTATATTATTAAAAAAAAGCGTAGAGAGAAGAGAAGAGAAGCGAATTTATATATGTCATTACTAATTGCTGTTTCAGAATTTTCGAAATTCTTTTATATTTTTTATTATAAGATTAAAATATTAAATTTTATTTTTCAAGATACAGTTATATTTTGTATAGTCGCTAATATTCTAATCTGCATTGTACAGTATCAAACGCATTGTAAATAGATCACAGTAAGAAGTTCGGTTCGACTCACAGTTCTTTTCACTAGAGATGAAAATGCTATCTTGTATATCCCGCGAGGGACGTTATAATATTTATAAAATTGTATACTCAATGACAACTCCTAGAACGTGGCTTCGTCTTGTCTTAAATATAAATAAATCTTTAAAAATTTATGATTTATTTAATTCGTATGACAATGTATAATTTAATTACTGTTTGATAGGCCTATATATAAAAGAGAAAAGTGAAATTATAACTCTAGTGAGTTGATACATCAACAAAAAGTTAATACTATATATTTAATTATAAGCAATTATAAAAAAAAGCTAAGAATATATTAAGAATAATTTTTTTTAAATCCCATCTGTATTTTAATATATATATAAGATTTAAATTTTGTTTTAAAATATTATATGCATTTAATACTTATGCATATTAAATGAATTTATAAAATTCAATCGGATGCCACATGTTTAAAAATGGCAGAATAAATCTATTTTAAATTATACTATATTATTATTATTTTAATAATTGGCAGTATATTTTGATAACTTTGCTGGAAACAACTAAAAATAAAGTATAAATGAATTCGAAAAACAAAAAATTAATTTGAAGTTCTTTCCGTAAATACTTGATTAGTTATTTTATATTTTCAACACGCATCTAGTATCATATAAAAATTCGTAAAACTTTCAGAGAAAGACACAGATTATCAGATTATAATTTCAAATATTTCACAAGTAACTCTAAAACATATTACATAGAGACAGTGAAGTAGCCGGAGGGAAAACGTAAGAAGTTTTATTTCCTTTAAGAAACTGATCTCAAAATATTTGTTATAGACTATATATATTTAAAAAACAAAATATCACTATCGATCCTCACTAAATTTTATTTCTAGCAATTGATCTCCGTCCATGTCTTAAGAAAAAAAAGATTACTTCTAGATGTATGTAAGAAGCATTACCTAGAAAATATTGTATATATTTTTCTCGATAGTTAGCTCTGCCCAAATTTATTATATATAATTCTCTACACACAGTTTTGTATTATAATCTGATAATTTTCATTATCAAAATAATGTCAGAAACGGAAACGATTGATACCTAGTTTGATTTGGTTTAGTGGGATGCGGTAACGCAACACAAGGACGATCTGCCAAGGGGTTGTCTCTCGAGAGGACTTTCCATAGTAAATTGATCATTATTTAAATTATTAGGCTTGTGAATAAACCAAGAAAACTCTAAGTGACCAGTCCATTTGTCAGGCGCGAACCCGCGACTAACAGTGGTCAATGGTTTTATATACCCGGCTATTGGTAGTGTCTTAATTACAGTTAGTTACAAAAACATATGAAAATTTAAATTAATTCAAGTCCAATAAATTGCGAGATATCGTTCACAAGAATAAATAAACATCTGAAGAAAATGAATAAGCCGTTGTTTTTTTTCGAAAAATATGTAATTGGAAATATTATCACTTAATTAAAAAGTAATCATAAAGGATTCATAATATACTAAAAGATAATTATAAAAAAAATTAATGAGGTATTTAAAAATATGATTTTCAAGTAAATTTCTAAGTTTTATAAGGCGAATAAAATTGTCGTAATATAATATGATTAAGACAAAAATTAATTACTAAAATTTTTTATAATTAGTTAAAAAATTCCAATGAAATATAAATACTTAAATTATATATTTTATATAGCTTATACTACATCTTCCTAAGATCATTTATATTTCTTTACTAATTGTATTAAAAGACTTGATTAAAAGTAATAGCTGTATTAAATTAAAATTATAGTTTTCAACAAAAATAATTAAATTAATATAACAATATTTATTTTTAATGAATAGATGAGAGTGCACGTTCGGTCCGGATGCCACCGTTTGGAGGCAATTTTTCGGTGACCTCTTTTCGGAACGAAGACCAATGTGTGACCCTTGATCTTGACTTTCGTCATGACCCTTAAATGGGAAAAACTTTCTCCAGCAGAATTTGAGCAACTTCAAGATTACATTCAATGTGAGTATGAAATTAAATATCTTAAAACTTAAATTATTTTTGTACTTTAAAGATTATTTAATTAATAGTTCCCAACTAAAAAATCGTCGCCTTTCAAACACCAATTATTAATTAAAAATGCTGATAAATTCTATTTTATCAAATCAACAATTTTAGTAAAAAATAATAATATTTTCTCGTTTTAAAAATATTTAATCAGATTAGTGAATAATTAATGAAATTTTATTATTTTTACTAAGCGATTATTACCTTAAAACAAATATTCTAATTAAATATTTAAATTGTTTTTTCTAATAACTTATTTGTTTCTTGTTAATTCTATTCGAAAGCATAAAATTTGTAGTTCAGATAAAGCAGAAATAAACAGAAACGAAATCTTTTTATTGTTGTAATTAATAATTAAACCGATTACATTAAATAAAAATTAATTAATACAGTCGAACTTCAAATAACAACAATTTCCGAACAACTGCTACTTCCGAATAGCAGCCATTTTTTTCAGGAACTTACAAAAAAAATTCATACAAAATAACTTCCAAACAACAACCGCCTCCGAACAACGGCCAGTTTTAATATCCCCGTCAGTAGCCGTTATTTACAGGTTTGACTGTATTAATTTTGATGTAATAATAATACAGTAGTCCCCTTATAACACTGTAGATAATTCCGTTTTATATGAATTCCATGCTGTACGAGTCACTTACATTTTACAAATACATGAGCCGTTCACAGCCCGGCACACGTATTTGTAAAATCTAAGTGACTCGTACAACATGGAATTAATATAAAACGGAATTATCTACAGTGCTATAGGAGGGAGAATCCACTGTAATAATGCAAACTGTTAAATTAACTAATTAAAGTTAATTTTTCTGGATTTATTATACAGATATAAAAATCCAGATATTAATTAATTAGAAGGAAATCTTATTCGAGAATCGATAAGAAAATAATGAAACAAGTTTTGAATTGTTTCTAGTTATTCTTGAGAGTTATCAATCTTTAAGAATTGTATAAAAACGTAACTTTCTTATGATACTTTAAAATCCGATATAGCGTAGATTTTCTTTTTTCTTTTTTTTTAAATATTGAAAATGAATGAAACCGCAACTTTTATTTTCGTCTTGCATTGATTTTTTTTTTCTTTTTTGAATGGTGATCGATGAACAAAATTGAAAAATTGCTAAAAATATTCCAATTCAGCGCATCCTGTAGATTCATTTCTAAGATAATCAATAGATTGTTATCGCAGAAGTGATAATAATACTAATGTAATATAACTATATAAATGTAATTTTCTTCATTACATTTATGATTAATAAAGACAAATTTGTGTTTATTTATTACATACATTTCATAAAATTGTAAATAATCAAAATAATTTACACTAAATAGTTTTCATATTACACGCATGTAATCAACTTTATACTGGATTATAATAAATATATTTTCGATACTTTAAAATATAAACAAATATTATTTATTAAAAAAGGTGAAAAAAACCTAAAAAAATTAACGTATTTCTCGTTGTTATTCTGCAAATGTTTGGTCAAATATCTTTTGATACAATAGAATCTGAAACCAAATTTAACAAGAAAAATACTTGTTGGTAATAGTAAGTTCATTAATTATTATTAATTAGCATTAAAATTAAGTTAAAATAGCATAAATAATTACTTTTGTATATGTTTTATTTATTTATTTTTAATTTAAAAATTTTAATCAATTTAGATTTATCTATAAATGTTACTAACGAGCTTGACTTAAATGCTGATTTCTAGTCTGAAGTAAACGATTTTTAGATGTGATAATTCTATCTGCAAAATTTATCCCCATTAAAATTGCAAGAAAATAAAGAAATGCAAACAACTTTTAGTTGTGAAACTCATTTGCATCGTTTTACTATCCGTTATCGAGTATTTACTAACTAATATAAGAATAAAATTCTGTGACCTATTTTTCATAACCTTTGACATTTCTTGATTTAATCATGGGAAGGAAAAATCAACTTCACACATAGAGATGTGTTTGATTTGTATTATTAGAAAAGTTATTCTTGTTTGTTTTGTTATCGTTCAATTCGCTATAATTGATGATATCAACTCAATCATATTAATAACTGTTACCAGCTTTAGTCAAGATTATTTCGCTTCATCATAGCCGCTTCTATCTGTTGTTTTAAAGATGATTTATTTAAGCGAATATATAATATAAAGGTAAAAAAAACTTGTAAGATAGATGACGAATTAATTTATATTCCAATTTTCATCATCATCCTAGAATCTTACTGGAAATGATAATGGATAATTTCCTGGATAAAAATCCCAAGAAAGCTATCTTAACTGGAATTCATCATCTTGCCATCCACTAGCGCTGCTCATCTTTAATAATTAAATTTAATATTTATTCAACAACACCTACTCACTCAAAAGTTACCAAATTTTATTAACTATAAAAAAAATTCAATTGTTGTTTTATACTTTTCATATTTCAGCGACAGAATTCTTAGAATCTGGTTACTTGAAAATAATTAATAACTATTAGCATTTGTATAATTACTGTATAATTAATTGTCTAGTGTATAAATGATATTTGTATACGTATATAATTATAAAAGTTTAGATTAATATTTTAAATATTTATAAAGATTAAAAGCTTCTCTTTAATTCTAAATATATGAAAATTTGGATTTGGTCAACTACTTCTCTACTTCAAAAGTATTATACAAGAATATTTTCATATCTTAAATAAGATTTTTCATGATAATACATTATTATTTTATGATAAAAATAATGTTTTATATTCTTATTTAAATATACTAAATTTTAAAACAATTTATGAAATAAACTTTTAATAAAGGAAAAAGATTTTTAGATGAATATATTATAATGAACAGTTGATTTCACGTTTAAGTAACTGAGATATATATATAAACTTGAAGAAGAACAAGTCTAATTTTGTAAAATTTTAATAATTTTTCTTCTAAATCTTCCACTACAGTAATAGTAGATGTCTATATATATACACATGTTTGTATAAAATATTTCTAAAACGTCAGATTTTTAAATTTAGATGCATGTCATACATAATGGCGTCCATAAAGGGATTTCATAAATCCCAAAACTAAACTATTTTTTAAGATTTATAAATACTAAAAGAGGTTATTTTGAGAAGAAAGAATGTTAAAATGCTTCTCTTACCGATATTTATTTTTTCTTGATCTAAGTGACAGGTATTTGTAAAACAAACTGCTCCTTTCCATGATGCTGTATATTATATTTTCGAACTAAAATAGGAACGAAAGAATTTAAAAATATATATTTTAGATATAAATTACATAGTTAAAAATTCTTTTAAATAATTTTTAAACCTGTAAATTTTAACCGTTTATCGTTTAAAAAATTTAGTCTTTAAGCATAAAACATTTTAAAATTATCGACACTATAAGATTTTAGGCATTATAAACTTTAAATTTGAATTATTCATGACAATTTACTCTTTAAAAAAAATAAGAAATCCAAGATATTTTATTCTAACTTAAGTTTTAGAATTATGTTGATATCGGTATGATTAATGTATCGAATTGCACATCAGTACTATTTTTCAGCTTCTTATATCTTCTCCTAACCCAATTTTTAAAATGTTGTAAACAAATATAATTTATTTAAAAGTAAAAAAATAATAAATTATGTAATTAAAATTTTAATAAATAATATAAATAATTCTGCAATCGTTAGACTTTATTGATAACGAAATAGTTAATAAGAATTAAAGTGCGATTAATAATTAATTAGTTGTTAGCCTAGTCTTAGAGAAGAATAGAAGAAAAATAAAATTAATAAGTAGAAATGACACATTTATAGAATACTTTTAATATTTAAACAGAACAAAGAATGTATTATTTAATTTAAGTATGAAAAACTAGTCTAGACGGTTTAAAGTGTTGCTGATTAATTTGTAATTTCCGGAAAATGCGAATGTTTTTAATATTTTAATAAACAACAATTTAATTGTTTTTAATTTCGATCCAAGAAATTTAATTCGTTTTTGACGATTCCGCGAAATAAAAAATTGTTTACTAAATATTCTTAAAATTCTCATTTATACAGTTTTATACGTATAAAAAGTAGTCTATAAATAATTTGAAATGATCGGTTTTTTTTGTATCAGTAGTAATTAAAAGTGATTTTTTTTAAAAATAATAACATAAAAATTATATGAAAGATATGAAAGTATTTTTTTTTTAAATTCTTTCACATATGTTAAAATTTTTATACGTCAATTTTTTCTTCATACATTAAATATTTTTCATGACTTAAAATTTATTTTTCTATTTTATTTTGCCGAAGACGATTATGAAATATCAGAAAACATTTTCGAACTTATTTTTTATTTCTCTTTATGAATATTTTATGATAATAATAATAATAATAATAATACGTACAAATGTTTATCCCGTGCTTTCATTTTTAAATTAACGAAAAATATATTCTAAAATATATAATATTTTATATTAATACTTAACATTTTTCTATAAATTTTATTAATTATCGAAAATATATAAATTTATAATTCAATTTTTTGAAAATTTCCTAGAGTTTAGTTATCAATATTTAAACGACATCCTAAACAAACTAGTTCTTGATATAAATAATAAACCAGCCATCTTTTAAATCGAAGTATAAATGAAAGAAAACAGATTTCATATTTTTTTTTTAATTGGTAATTAGTTATATCTTTAATTCAATTATCTCCACTAAGTGTATTATAAATTAAATTAATTTATTATTACTGTAACTACAAATAAAAATTAAATCTTTTTCTCCATCTTTATCTTTGCATTCTTCTCGATGAGAAATAAAATTCTAAAAATAGTCTCATTTATTAATTACTTTAAGATTGATCATTTTAAAACAAAAATTTTTACATTATGCTTAAAAATTAATAATCAAATTCACTTTTTTTACTACAAACAGAATTTTATTTAATTAATCCACACA